AAAAGCAAACAGTTTCACTGCAAACTAAACAATAGTTGCAAACGTGCACAGCCATAAAATTTAGCATTTTACAGCTTACTTTAAACAATAGGATTAATATTATTAATCTTAATAATTAGTATTTAAATCATACTCCGCAATGCCAAGTTGTCATCAGGGCTGAAATAAACAAAATGTCGATAATCCACCACCACTTGAAATCCCACTTGCAATTAATTGTTAATACTTTGGTTGGCCACTTTGTATCACGGTGAATACTAACATCGTTATTTTTATTCGATATTACTATTCGTATTTAAGACACTGGATATGCAATTACTAATGTTTATAATAATAAACAATAATATTAATAATGCAGATAGAAACGCAAATAATAGCCCATTGCGTTTATCATATTTTTTTGTTTGAATATCAGTTTTGCAAATAATGGGCGTCCTACAAAATTGCCTGGAATATTTCGAACTGGCTGACATAAACTAGTTTGCATTTCAGTTCCGGTTTGATTTTGGCATAAAACTTTAATTTCATACTCTAATAAAAGTAGAATTGTAATGGCAATGGTTTCTTACCGAATAATATCCTGATGGTACTCAATGCAATGTTTCATTTTATTGAGCTGAGCTTGTGGATCTTTACAAAACTCAATATCATTGAATAGCAAACTTAAATGATCGATTCTAGCTATGTTGAATTCATTAACTTGGATGTTTAAATGAGTTACAAGAACGAAAGAGCTTACTGCTGCAGCATTTGGTATGTCATACAGTAGCACTAATCGTCTCGCCAATAAAGAATTGTCGTATGGTGCAGGTAGCCATGTGGGAATAATCAGGCCACAAACTCCACCGCCTGTCTTCTCCTAAAAAAATATTTGTTTAATCCACGACTGTTCAAGAATAGACGCATTATGAATGTTTCTATTTAATACGCTCCATTAGTCTGACGTCAGACGATGCGCGCGCCGAAGAACTGTATCCACACAAACGAATTGTTCTATCTTATTAGCATTGGACCTGGTTTCCTTTTGTATTTTTCTAGAAATCTGCAGGTTCTAAGCATTAATATTAGAAAAAAAGGAAGTACCGCTGTCGTTAGCAACTATTTTGTTCACTTCATTAGATACGTCGTTCTTACTTTTTCTTCAATTTAACATTTTTCAACATGCAGGTTGTGTTTTCTAACAGCTGATTGCTGTTGGATACGAATGTGTACATGCCTTGCAGATGATTTGTCGATTAAAAACACATCTCGACCTGTTAGTTCCTCGATTCTAATGATAAGTTAACATTTTAAGTGTCTGCAGGTCACGTCGTACGATTTTCTGCTGTAGCCGATTGCTTTAAATTAGACTGTGCATAGTTAAAGAGGGGTGAAAACTCTTAAGAGAGAGGCAATGTCATTGAGCTAGTGTTCGCTACCAAAGACTCTCCTGCTTGACTTAAAGATGTGAGAGCCAGTATGAGAAAGAAAAATTACTGTGTATTACTGTAATTTTGTATATTTTTGACTGTGAAACATTAAAACTAACAGCTAAAGTTTCATGAGAGTTATGAGTAACTGATCTTGCTTACCTACTAAGTTTTTCAACTTTCCAGTAATAATAATAAATTACTTATATCTTTGAGTAATGCAAACAAACATTTAAATCTTGCATAAGTAGAAAAATAGATAAATACTAAGATGCCATTTTCTTTTATACTTTCAACTGAAAAACGTTCAGATAAATTGTGAAGTCCCATTAACACTTCCTGTAGTTGTTGGCGAAAATCATTTTCAGCATAAATCCATGATGTAGAAATAAAGGTTTCAGGAATTGAAAGTGCTAAGGTTTCAGTGGCTCAGTTTCTATGTACAACTGAAATTTAAAAAATGCATTGTTGAAATTAAGGTTTGTTTCCGTTTTCACAAAATGTTTTAAGTTTCTTAAATTTTCGTTCACTTTCCACATTTCTTTTTCCTGAGAAAAAATATCATTTTGAGTTTTGATAAAATTACTTAACATAATTTTA